GGAGGATAAAATTTATCCGTCGTTCGCACGTCGCAGTGTCTCTGCTAACAGCCATGCCGTTATTGAATTAATGTTACATAGAGACCTGCATTTTTCGAATATCTCTTTATTTTGTTGAAAAACAAATTCCTCGAGAAAAAAATTAAGAAAAAAAATGTTATATTTTGAATATAGGTCGGAATATAAGTAGCAGTGGTACGATCTTTGGTACATGTATGTATGTATATGACGACGTACCGACGTCTCACCTTGACTAACCATCCGTTCCCGCATAGTTTTGCGTTGTTCACGCTGAATGACACGAAACGATGCACATGCTACATATATGCATTATGACTCGGGACGCATGCGCGCTATATGTATACGTACGTAAACCGTACGCGACTGTCAAGTATCACTACCACGACTTCATTCATATTTTTTCCTCGTAACAGCTCCACACCCGTTCCATTCACGTGCTCGCTTGATCGAGGCGCAGCACGGTGTAGCACAGTGCACGAGAATCAAGTCGAATCTATAGTTGAATACCTAGGTAGTCTTCAATTCACCGCCACGACAATGCTCCACTTCGGCTGCCGCATTTATGATATGCCTCTATCGTCTCTAATATATTTTTTCCTTCTTTCTCTCTCTCTCTCTATCTCTCTCTCTCTCTCTCTCTCTCTCTCCTTGTCTCTTGGTCGCGAGTAAAAGTAGTCAATCAGTAAACTAGCATATCGCATTGTGGGTGGCAAAATAGAGATGCATTTCATCTGTTTTCCTGTCGTCTAACAATTTCTTTTTTTCATTTTTCATACGTGTATTATTATGCGTATCACGCATGGTATCGTAATATCGTGTACGTAGAATGTGTTTTATTTATTGTCTTATTAATCTTAGAAATCTTAGTCCAATTGCGGAAATTTAAATCGATTGCGAGTCGTTTCCCCTCCGAGTGCATTTTCAACACTTTCACACGTGATCCAGGTGTGAGAAAATTTTCCGTGAAAATCAGCTCGCAAAAATGTATATCTAAAGTTAGCTACACTGCAGAGGTTGCTCTCTGCAGTCATAATCTTTATATTTAATTAATGTAAGATTTAGATAGCAATATATATGTACTTATGTGTGTCGCCAAGTAGATATGAAACTTGGCATCACGCCAAAAAAAAACATTATTCATTGGACATTTTTGCACGCCATTAAATCATATGCGCATCATGATCGTTAGTTCATGAAGATTTTTGCTCTAGCTAAAATTAATCTTTCAGATTTCAATGTACTTTAACGTACTTGATACAATCTGATACGACAGCAAGGAAGTAAAGCGTGTAACCCTGCACTCATTCGCACCGAGGTAACAAAAGGAAAAAGTAGCAAAATTCTCATTAGTTCGCAAGCAACATGCGTCTACTCTCCTTCCCTATCGATTCGCCAACTTCATCGAGCGGGATATTCTGAATCTTTTCTCGTAAGAGAATCAATAATCTAAATTGTAAAATATTATAAATTGCATATGGCTCACGCTATTTTTTTTCTTACGATTCGTGAAGATATCGCCTTTGCAAACTTGACGATATTCACTTCGTCTTTGTGAAATTTTGTATCTTTTATATAATAAATTGCTAATTATAAAAGAAAATATATAAGTATAGTGAAGCTTGCAATATAAATACTTGTATTATTAATAAACAAATGGAAAGAGAAAATGTGGGGAGGGGGAGAGAGGGAAGGAAAGAGAGAGAGAGAGAGAGAGAGAGAGAGAGAGAGAGAGGAAGCAAGTCATTGCGCCATCAGGAAGTGGTTCACCACTTACCACGCATTTAAGTTAAGCAACGTAAACCAATACTATTCCAAATATGCGCGTAAGCACATAACGCTCTCGCTGAACTTAACTCCTGTGCATAGCCAACAGATAGTTCTAACACATCAAAGATAAAGAAAAAATATAAGTATCAAACGCATTACGAGCGCGCTCGAGAGAGAGAGAGAGAGAGAGAGAGAGAGAGAGAGAGAGAGAGAGAGGGAGAGAGAGAGAGAGAAAGAGAGAAATCTAATAGTGCTCGTGCGAGCAGTGAGTTTAATCCTACGCTCATACATGTCATGTGCTTACATCGCGAACGGCGGGGAACGTGACGTACGCTCCTCTATGTATTGGTTACCCCGTACACGCTAATTTTGTAACAAGTCGCTACCGTACCATGGGGCAGACGATCTATTGATCTATTGGCAAATTGTTGGACGAGAAAATAAATAAGCGAGTTGGGTCGTTCAAAAAATGTGCATGTTTCTCTATCATACTATATATAAATTCACTGAACGATATAAATAACATATTAGGAAGATAGCAATGAAAGAGGAAGAGGGAGAGAGAAAGGAGAGCGTAAGGGGAAGGAAACTAAATTTTTTTGTAACTAAAACAAAGGATTGAAGAATTAATTTTCTCGTTCCTACAAAAAACAGTTTATCGAAAATTAAAATGTGATGCATTGACCACAGTTGAATAATGTACAAATATGTATATAATGTCAATTTACGTAATATAATAAAATTATGCAATTTCAGTCGTGTACACATACATAAAGAAGAATAATTCTTTCGGAGAAGAGCAGCATTTTGCGCTGTGCCATACTTAATTTTCATACCGGTGGAAACGTCTAATTTTATAGATCAAAAATATAATAACTATTTTATATTCTTACATTTTTTGTTAATTAAGTTAATTAACATTACTATCGCTCGAAAACTGCAGTTAATCGTTAAGACTAACTGTTAACCTTAATTTGTGTTATTGCTTGCGCTCACTAATAATAACAATCTTTATTTTGCGATACCGAAAACAAAAACTACAATACATCAACAAGCGATTTGTACCAAATGACACAAATTGAAATAATTATTATAACACTAGTAGTATTATCTTCAGTATTCTTTTTGTAATCGAAAAGTATACCTATATATATTATAGCTTTTACATTCATTGCAATAATCGTCGCGTATATCGTTGCATGCATTCATAGTTGTAAATTATCGATTTCATTCGCATAATGAAAAATGCGTATTCGTCGAGCAAAATAATCGATTTTTCTATGACATACAACTCATACACACACACACACACACACACACACACACACGCACGCACATATCCACATTTGTACAAATATTTTTAAATAATACAACATAATTACGAGTGATGTAATGATAACTCGAACGAATGAATCCTGCGCGCGTCCAGTGAAGCGATGAAATGAACATTAACGCAAACGCGATAACTCGCAGCTGACCACCTCGTGTTTCCGCGCGTCTCCTCTATTCGCATTCGTTTTCATATATTTGTCGACAAGCGCGAGACAGACGCGAGCTTGGCTAGAGCGGATATAAGAAGGAAGTAATGGCCATAATGTGTGGCATCGCGTGATAACGGGAGGGGTTACGGGATGTAGTCGCGGATAGATGTAGCGTAACTATAGCGTAGCGAGGAGTAGCAGGCAGTAGGCAGCAAACGGTCAGGAGCAAACTCGGCAAACAACAGAGATAGGATAGAGAAGGGGCGCTGGAACATGACGTTTACGGCCCTGGTTTTTAGACCCATTCACAGAATGAACGAACCGCTTGCGTTTCGTTCGTGTAGTCACTCAGTAGTGTCATGGAGGTAACATGGCCGAGAAGACGCGCCTAGTCCGCGTTGAAGAAAGGCTAAGGATCAAAATCGGTAGGAAGATATAGGCGTGCAGTAGTTACGCGAGTGTTTCGCGAGCGTGATGTGAGATGTGCGTTTGTCGCAACGGCGATATTTTCGGAATATCATTGCGATCGTTAGCCGTTTCTCACGCGCTGCGCGCGTTCGGGATGTCACCTAATTTGACTCCCACGGCTGTATCCACTTTCTGCCATCTCTTCAAGGCAAAGGCTCGATACGATCGACAAATGCTCGGTAACGATGTGTATCGAGCCAATCTGCAAATTAATCGAGAACGATGTCCAATTTTCACGCGAAATTCACTGGCAATCGACGCGTACATTCTCAACTCCCACGCGTCGTTGTCCTCCTACGCGCGCGCGCGCGCGCGCGTGTGTGTGTGTGTGGTGTGTCCGTGTGCGTGAGTGAGTGTGAGTGTGGCGTGCGCGCGCGCCTGTATACTACGTGTATGTATACCGTGTATATATGCGTGCGTGCGTAAAATTGCGTGTGTGCCACATGATCGTACGACAAGAAAGTTGTGCGATCATGGACAGACATAACCGAAAATTTCAATGGGAGGTTTCAATCGAATTAAGTCTCGTCTTAATCTCATCCCCATTAAATGTGCGTTTCTCAGGATGATTTGAATCGTCAAAAAAGTTAGAATCGACGTTGTCTAGTGTATTTTTCCCAGGCCTTTCTAAATTTTCGTTTTCTATGAATTTCTAACATTACAATGTAATTCTTTCAGTTGCATTTGAGAAATTACTTAATAAATAATAAACGTTGACGTTATAAATACGAGACTGCTTACTGCAATGATAAAATGATAAAATCGAAAATTTTAGGATAAAATCAGGATTTTGTCTTAAAATATCTCATCGGGATAAGTCGAAAAATCGTCGATTATTATTGATGACATTGTTGAAAATATATGGATGAAATTGAAATATCTAAAAGTGTGTAGCATATTGCGCAACAACAATATATTATTGAAAATCAATGCTTTGATAATTCAGTACATTCAAGTTACTTCACATAGATGGCATTTATTTCTTTTTTTATTCTATGTGCAACATATGATAGTATAAACAATGTAAACTTATATTTTTCTTTTGCATCAAATTGCACCGATACCTTTGAGAGAATCTGCAACGATATGATTTTTAAATATATATTTAGTGCATTTAAATGTTATTATAACTTTATATCCTAATTTCACATCCCGAAATTATTTGAGCAATGATTAAAATCTAATACGAGTGTAAAATCAATGCCTCAAAATTATTTCTCAAGAAATATTGGCAATTACACTACCTGTAAATACTTTCTGCAGGAGAAGCAAAGAACCTTCAAAGTCGAAGTCATGGATATCCAGGTACACGAGACGTTTACTGCACCCTATCACTGGATCAGGAGGAAATATTCAAAACGACAACTATGGAAAGAACTCTCAAGTAAGTCTGTTAAAACTGCAAAACTTGTAGTTTTTTACCTTGTGATATAAATTTATAAATAATTTAATAAATATATTATTATTATATTGTGTTGTAGCCCGTTTTTTGGAGAGGAGTTTCAATTTGAAGTACCCAGAAAATTTCGTTACCTTGGTATTTATGTATACGATAGAGATAGACATTTAAAACAAGATAAAATTTTGGGAAAGGTAGCAATAAAGAAAGAAGATTTAGCTACATATCATAACAAAGAACATTGGTTTCCTCTGAAACCGGTCGATGCTGACTCTGAAGTCCAAGGCAAGGCTCATTTAGAACTTGCTTTGCAACCTCAAGTCGAACACGCTCAGCCTAAACTTACAGTAAGGTGAGTACTGACTGAGTATATAAATACATATGTATATGCACAACTATCTCATATAATGTAAAACTAGAATATATATTCAATAATATTTGGTTATATCCATTGCAGACTAATAGAATGTAGTGAATTAACCATTAAAAATGGTAGCTGTGATCCCTTTGCAACTGTTACAGTTATTTATAGTAATGGTAAACAAATATCAAAACGCACAAAAGTTAAAAAGAAAACAGCATCTCCACGTTTTAACGAATCATTTGTATTTGAGGTAAGAAAATGTGTACGCACGTAATGTAAATGCGTATACATAAGGATGCCTGTTTTTTATAGCTGAACTGCTGAACTAGTTCACAGTTTATCTTTCTCTTTCTACATTGGAAGAAGAAAGATAAACTCTGAACTAGTGTAGTCAGTTGAGCTATAAAAAAACAGACCTATGCATGCCCTAAGTACATGAAATGATTTTCTTTTATATTGTAGCCAGAATTAATCGAGACCAGAGACAAAGATGTTTCCCATTATTCTATTGAAGGAGCTGAAGTTGGAGAAGTAGTTGTTGGCTTGTGGCATGCATCTCCTGGTATGGGAGAACAACCGGTGTTTCTTGGTGAAGTCCGAGTTACGTTAAAAGGATTACAAAAACAACCAACTAGTACAACAACGGCATGGTATATTATATACTTGTGTCATAAAGATGTGTCATGGATTTGCGCGACATTATATGAATAAATGTAATTATTGTATTTTGCGCAGGTATTTTTTACAGCCTAGAGCAGCAAAACATCGTCCAAGTAAAATTTCAAGTAATTCAATACCACCTGGTACGTTACCAGGTTTGGGATCTTTACGTTTGAAAATTCATTATGTAATCGATCATGTTTTCTCGTCTGAAATGTATGATAGACTTAAAAATCTATTATTACAAAGCGTTCATATTCAGCCAATAACGTCATCGGCTGTTTACATATTGGGTGAAATTGTAGCTAGTAAAATGGAAGCTGCACAACCATTAGTTCGAGTATTGGTGCATCAGGGACAGTTGGTGCCTGTAATGCGAGCACTTGCTAGTCATGAAATTTCTAAATTGACGTAAGCAAATTAATTATTTTTTTTTAATATGGATTTTTTAATATAAGTATCAATTATTAGTTATATCTATAATTACATATTGTAATAATAAGATAAGAAAGTAGAAAAATTTGATTTAATAATTTTATTTAAGAGATCCAACGACGATTTTTCGCGGTAATACGTTAGTGAGCAAGATGATGGACGAAGGTATGAGATTAGCAGGTCTTCGTTATTTGCATAGTACTCTTAGACCTGCGATGGAACAAGTTTTTCTTGAAAAAAAACCATGTGAAATAGATCCAGCTCGGGTAAAAGATGGCAATACAATAGAGACGAATTTGACGAATTTAAAGGTATTAAATCATAATCGTAATTGCTTGTCTCTCATTTGTTGTTTCATGATAGAACGGTTTATTGATAACTGCTATCCCTTTTTTAATAGGAATATGTTGAAAGAGTATTTACAGCTATAACAACTTCCGGAGTAAGATGTCCACCTTTAATGTGTGAAATGTTCTGGAGTTTGAGAGAGCTCGCTGCAACTCACTTCCCAAAAAACAAGGAAGTGAGATATTCGGTGATAAGTGGATTTATCTTTTTACGATTTTTTGCTCCTGCAATATTGGGTCCAAGATTATTTGATATCACTACTGAACAAATTGTAAATAACTGAAGAAATGATGTATTATATGAAGAATATCTCTGTTCCACATGTCTTGATAGCAATTTTAAATTTTCAAAATCTCTCATATGTTGTTATAGGATTCGCAGACCAATAGGACATTAACATTAATATCTAAGACGATTCAAAGTCTTGGAAATTTAGTGTCTTGCAGAGGAGGCGCAGGCAGTGTATGTAAAGAAGAGTACATGGAATGTGTATACAAGTAAGATTTTAATAAACACTCATTCACATACCTATAAGATAAATAGCAAATATTTAGAAATGATATATGCATAGTATTATACATATGATTTGATTTTGTAGGGAATTTTATACAGAAAAACATATACAAGCAGTCAAGCAATTTCTAGAGTTAATATCGACCAGCAGTAATAGTAGCGGTATCACAAAGCAGCGTCCAACAATATTGCAAGAACAACCAGTGGTACTCAAAGAAGGGTATGTTTGTTAATATACAGATATTCATTATTCCATCGATTATCGACTTTTTCTCTCTTTCTTGTCTCTTTGAGTCAAAAGTTTACATGCGCGCGGTATCACGTACATGTACACACGCGCCCACGCGTTGTACATGTTCAAGGGAGTTGTGCACGTTGGGAGGGAGAGGAAGGAAGAGGAATGTAATAAAATATATCGAATGCTCTGCTTAAGGCTTCTGACTATTCAGCCAAGAATTCCGCGTTAACGGTGACGACTCTCGATATCGTGGTAGGAATTAGAACCTTGTTTATCGTACTATGGCTCATTCTATAATATGCCACATGGCAATCCGGTGTTGTGTGTAGGTCGAATGTGAAGAGAGAATACTCGACTGTTATTGGTCATTCTTACTGCTTACGCGCCGACATATGACATACCTATAGGACAGACCTTACTGTGAAAAGTGATATAGTTGACAACGAAATTTTGTCTTGCATTCCATTTTATTTATTACTAGTTATTAATTACTTAATTGCGAAAATTTGACACACTTGTCTCATACTTGTAAAATTCGTAAAAATATATGGAAAGTAATGTTATCTTTGAATTTTATACGTAAAACAAATTTTTCACTCCTTTCAACAGCTGCTAAACCGTGTGTTTTCCTATCTCAATAGGATTCACTTCACATACCTTTATGATTATTTACTGACTGTCAGGGGGGAAAAGAAAAGTGTAATCCGATCCATTTTTACAAATATTTTAAAGCGATCCTATTTTTTGTTTTATCCAAATTTTCTTATTTACAAATAGCGTGTAAAAAACTTTAACGTGTCATTTCTCGCCTAGTCGCTTATAACGTCACGATTCCAATATATAGCCGCGGTGACTGAGTGAGTTAGGAGCCTTAAACCAGATTTTGTTACTTAAAAAATATAATATTGAGACTATACGAGTTTAAATTTCTAAAAACTTTGTATATTTCTAATAGAATATACTTTCTCTTTATGCATACTACTGATTGTAACAAGAGGTTGGTATCGTCATACAACATTTACATTTGTTTATATATTGATATATATTCTCCCTACAAGAGTATTTTAATTGGAATTTTTTTTTTAATAGAGTAATGATTAAACGAGCACAAGGCAGAAAACGATTTGGTCGCAAAAATTTTAAACAGAGATATTTTAGACTTACTACGCATGATTTGACGTACTCTAAAACCAAAGGTGAATAATCTGTCATGATATAAATATCTTTTAAGAAAAGATGCAAAAAGAAAAATATAAAGCTTTATGAAATAATTTATTATATGCAGGTAAAGAACCTTTGTGTAAGATACCATTAGAAGAAATTTTAGCAGTAGAAAGACTTCACGAAGATTCCTTCAAGATGAAAAACATGTTTCAAATTATTCAACCACAAAGGGCATTATATGTTCAAGCTGGTAATTGTGTAGAAGAAAAGGAATGGATTGACATTCTTACAAAAATATGTCAAACAAATAGTAACCGCTTAGAAAAATATCATCCAAGAGTATACATGAACGGTCATTGGCTTTGGTGAGTGGTATGGTGAATCAAGAAATATGTGTGCGTGCGTGCGTGCGTGCGTGCGTGCGTGCGTGCGTACGTGCGTGTGTGTACGTATTTCTATTCTAATTTTTGTATTTGTGTTTCTGCAATATGCAGTTGTCAGGCAGTTGCTGAAGTTGCACCAGGATGTAAGCAAGTATCGCCAGACATAGAGGCTGGACTGCATATGGTCTTAGATCCGGATCGCGATTTGCAAAGAATACATTCGTTAATTTTTACAAATATGCCGCGTCTTGAGACGTTGATGAATGCATGTGAATGTCAGGCAGTTTATGGCGCTAGCGATATATGTGTTATTCCGGACGGTGGATCACCTATAGAAGATGTACCTTCATGTTTCAAGACTTTAAACACACTTAGAGAAGCTGCATATGCATTGCAGCGTGAACATAGAGCCTATTTTAGAAAACTGGCACGCGACACCAAGTACGGCAGCAAGTATGTGATATACTTGATTATTTTATCAGCTATACGACTTATTGTTAGATATATTTTCGCTATTTAAAGTATTACTTTAAATAATATTTGCTAACTATTGTACTCTTGCTCCCACAGACAGGCTCCCATCGGTGATGACAACTACCTCCACTTAGCTAATAGAGCAGGATTCGATAATCAGTTAACAAAGCGAACGTACGAGTTGGATGGTCTAAATCAACGATCCATAGAGACGGAACATTACGATACGGGATTCTCTAGAAAAATTGTCGAGAGTCAAAGATACGACGAGACATTTAAAAAGTGTCTTGATTCTGACTCCATTAATCGTAGATATGAGGATGAAAACAATAGTGATACTGTCAGGAGTATCCAAAATGATCTCAGAAAATTCGATCATAGTTTAAATAATACATTAAGATCTGAAAAATTGGAAAGGAACGTTAATAAAAATATGGGAAGTCATAAAAGGTTAGACGGCACCAGTCTACTAACGGCAGATAGTATTAATTTATCAAGTACATTATCACGGAAATTGGGTAATTATGATAATACTAGAGTGTTGAACGAACACTGTACACTGACAAGACGATTACAGGACGATACCTCTGACATACCTTGTAATTCGATGAGTGAGCGTGGCAATTATTAATTTATGACATACACATCTATGATGTACAAATATAAATTGTGCACGTTCCTAAATTTAGAAAAATTACGAGAGAATTATAAAAAAAGGACCGAAATTTACATTAGTCATTACTTTAAATTAAAAGAAGTGTAGTCTTCTGGCTACCTTTTTTATCGTTATATATATTGTACATAAGATTGTACGCGTGCGTGCGTGTGTGCGTATGTGTGTGTGCGTGCGCGTGCTTGTGCGTGTGATTTCTTTCATTCTGTATAAATTAATGACTCTGCTGTTGGAGGCAGTTTTTTTTGTCGTGTATCTACCTTTTATGACGACATGTTTTAATTTATCTCGTATCTGGGAAAACTGAATAAATACGAGAGAGAGAGAGAGAGAGAGAGAGAGAGAGAGAGAGAGAGAGAGGAGTTGTAACAGAATATAATTTAACATATCTTTTGATTTGTTACCATGCTGTGCAGAGAACGTAACATCTTGTCATCACAGAAATCTCTACTATTTATTGATTATTTATTTATTATTTCATCTCATTTCAATATATTGAAGATATATGTGCATAAACATGACATTGGCTGTGTTATTGCACAACTTGTAATCTCATTCATTGAAAAAATCGAGTTCTCATTGATATAAAACACTCAATGTTCGTTACGTAATATGTAGTAGTTGTTGTAAGCTATAAAAAAAATTGTAATTGAATACAATTATCGCTATTTTTTATTCATGTATAACTCCATCAATTTTGAGCACAATTCTTTATGCATCAATTATAAATACACAAAAAAATATATAAGTGCTTATTAATGTTGCAAATAGAAGTGATTACAATTTGGTAGAGTTTAAAAATTGTTAAAAAAAACTTAAACTTTATATCTTTTTGCTGTAGCATCACTTATATAAATTCAGTCGAGTCGTTATATAGAAAGATGTAAACAATCTGATTTATCTGATAGTGTAAGCGCTAAATTTTTTAGATTTATCATGTACAAGAGCCTAAACACGCCTACATTTTTTTACTGCACTTATCATTGTAAATTCTTTTCTTTTATTATAAAACAGTTTGAATTTACATTCACTCGAATCAACGTATCTCTCATTATCGCAATTCTTATATTTCATTAGTTATTGTAATATAGACTTTTAAAAACGAAAATGTTGAACGTATAAAAGAATATTAGATCTGTTAATTTTTACTAGAAAAAAAAATGTAATGAATGTAACAAAAAGATCTTGCAATCTCAAATTGTTGCTGAATATTACTTTAATATATTAATCCAAAAGAGTAATTAAGTTTTGTTTTCATGTTCGTGTATTGTACGATTCTATTATAATTGATTATATATTGAATGAATATCAATTTCCTGTGATAGAATATGTAATCAGCATTCGTAATAACTTTTAAGCTATCTAAGCTACCAATTTTCTATATAAGATGTATTATTCATAATTAATTTAAAATCTTTTTACATTTTTAGGACACATTTGGTATTTATTAAAATTAAAAGACTATACCTTTAATTTCATAATTACAGATGGTGATAATTAATCATATTATCTATACTATCTATAGCAATTACTGTTTTAATTTTTTTTTTTTAAAGGTTAGGACATATAAAATACTTATCTAACATATTTGCCATCAAGTTAAAATTAATCAGCTTTAAGATTAAAATAAATTCTCTGAATCCGATCATTCGCGATGTGAAGTTACAATTAATTTTAATATAAAGATAATGAAACACAGATATACTTAAATCTATATTTAAAAATGGTTAGTTTTAATAATAATTTTTTCAGAACAACTCTGAAAAGTATTGACAATGTTTGATTTTCGTTGCAATAAATTTTAATTATTTAAGTAAAATGAGAAAAGGAAACGAGAGAGAGAGAGTGTGTGTGTGTGTGTGTGCGCGTGCGTGCGTGCGTGCGTGCGTGCGTGCGTGCGCGCGTGCGTGCGTGCGTGTGCGTGCGTGTGTGGTGTGTATGGAGATATGTGTATATTCATGAATGAGCCTAAAAGAATTTCTCCATATTCTAGTACAGTAAGATGATTACATTAAATATTAGTTTATTTAGTTGAGGCTATATAAAGAAATATCTTTTATTATGTATTCATATTATAGTGATTTATAATACAAAGTGAAAATAACTGTAACTGAAAATTATACATTTCGTGATGAAACTCGTATGTCAAATAGCTCTACAAGCCATACTAATACTATTACGATTGTAATCCCTCCATTTTAATAGAGAACAACTACAATAACACACAATAACAAGAAAATTATTAAAGTAAAAAGAGTATATAGTTATCGTTCAATTATTACATATTTATTATATAAATATTATACAGTTTATAAACATTAGATATGTACAGTGTACAGAAATCTCTTTTCCATGTGTAGGAATTAGATCTTCATTTAACATTTTTGTCCATTTGTGTGTTGCTAGATGTAAGAACTAAGATAACTTTAAATTTAGTAAATCAGTAGATAAATCAAATTGTTTATAAAATAGTTGAATTATCTATATATATTGAGCGGGATTAAGATACTGTGTGTGAACCTAGTTTGAAAATTTAACATATCTATGCAAGGCCTTTGTATATACAGAGTTTTCTCGCTATTCAAAATGCAGAGAATATATAGATAATATTATATAAATGATTAAGTAAAAATGTTGGACGCAATTTAATGAACAATTTTACATGATGTTAGTTTACTATATATGTATAATATTAATTCTTCCTTTTCTTATATTGTACGATACAGAGAAATATAAGTATCATTCTCAAAATAAAATACGTCGACTCAATTGATTTAGAGTTAACGTTGCAAGTATCTCGTACTTGAAGGAAAATGTAACCTTATTTATATACAGTTATAGTTATTGAAGTCGATTTGTTTATTTAATTGTTGTTGCAGCAAATTTTCATTGATAGGATTATTCAAACTTGTATTTTTTTGTCTGCCGATATTAATTATTTAATTCTGTATTGCATTTTTAATTTACAAATTTAATATAAACTTTCTTAGCTTTGTATAAAGTAACAGCAAATAATCAAGAAGTTTACAGAAGGACGTACGCTTATGTTATCGTTTGTAATTAGAAAGCAGTGTTACGAGATTTTTTTTATGCAAAAGCTTAAAAGTTGAAAAGAAAATTATATGATAAATCATCATTACATGCGATTTAAGCTATTCAAAACTTCAATTTCTCTTAGAAAATTGCGCGCATTCATGAACACAGTAAATTTGTTTCATAGTTTCCAAAATCGAATTCAATCAGATATATGTAATAATTTCTACTTACGAACGGTATTATTTATCTTAATTTTATATTAATTATAATTTAGTAATATTTTTATATACTCTCGTTGTGTTCACCAAGTACTATTGTTATTTTGTAGAAAATTGTAGCCTAGAAACTGTGCCTTAAAAAATTATATCGAAAATTCAAAATGTTTTCTCTTCAATCTACAGAACATGTGTAGTCATATACATATATATGTATATGACTATATACATGCGCGCGCGCGCGCATATTTATATGTACGTAATGCATACATTCGTATGTATACATATTTTGCATCTATGTGTGTGTGTGTGTGTGCGTGTGCGTGTGCGTGTGCGTGTGTATATATATATATAGATATATAGATCATACATTATTTAATTAGAAATGAAAGTTCTGAATGAAAGAAAAAATTAAAGTTCTGTATACTTTTTGCGTATTTTTATATTGTATATAAGTTTTTCCTACAATAAATGAAACATATATGTCCTCTGATGTACAATAATTAACGCATTTTCATGCGTTAACGTTAATATTTATATTCATTTAAAACAAATAATCTCTCTTATAACAATCTCTCAAGATTAATTATACATTCAAATTTTTTGCGATTGGAAAAGTTTTAAAAATTTGAACAGTATATAACGATATGTATTATATATATGATCGTGAAATAAGGATTTTTTTTCAATTTGAATATATTTGAATATGAGAAAAATGTGGGAAAAATTTTTACATATATATATATATATATTATAGTATTGAATGTAAATCGATAATAATTTCTTTTATAAAAATTTTTAATTTTTCTATGAATGGGACAATTTATATATAATATATACGCGACAAAGCAGCGAACCTTTGATTTCGAGGCTCAATTATTTCAAAAATCACGCGACCTTAAAATACAATTCTTGGTCGATTGTCAGCCGAAAGTGTCTTAAAAAATCCTAAAAATTTTACATTCGCTCGCTAACCCGACTTTATCGAAATGGATTGACGTAAATATGGCAATAATTAAGATTTTACTCGCATTTTCTACTATTTTTTGCAGAACAATATTTGCGTGCAATTAATAGTAGCATAATTCAACAGTACAAAATTCGTGCACTGCAGTTGCTACAAAAATTGAGCAAATTACAATTATCTGTAAACACTTTAGACACTGTCACAGCGCCGCACGTCCACGTTTTTCGATAGAGGAACTATGTAACGTACCACAATCATTTTGTAACATTGTCGATAAAAACGTAGCATCAAAATTTGTAGGATGTAAAAAATTACAAAATATTAATGCGTGTCTGTGCTACATCCGCAAATTATGGATAAAGGAAACACCTCTATATTTTGTAACATTGCCGCTAAAATGGCATTCCGATTCATATCTATTCTCGCTATCCACAAATATAAATTGTGAATGTAGCACGATCAGCACGGACACGCACCACGTCCACTTTCGCGCGCGCGCATGCTAGGATTTTATCGACAATGTTACAAAATGTGGACGTGATACGTAGTTCCTCTATCGAGGAAATGGACGTGCGGCACACAGTGTACGCACGCGGGGGACGCGGCCCCGACGTCGCGGGGTAATATATATCAGAATTCAGAAATGAGAAGTCGTGAGACTCGTGAGTGTGACAACAAGATATGTTGACATTAACACATATCATATTTTTGGCAATTTTTGCCAATTACCTGTGCGAAGAGCAGTTTTGTTCGGCAGATAACGATGTAAAATTCTGTAAAGAAAATGAAGTTGATCATCGAAAATCATCATTGTATACGAAAGAATTGGATACACAAGGTATGATTTGCATAACCTCAATTCGAAGTAAATTACATTTCTACACACACTCAAAATTCTGGAATATACAATACAAAATACGATACGGTATTATATAAAATTCTCATACATATAGATTTTTCCCGTTTCTAGAAACAAATGAAAGATATAAGAAATATTTAATGGCAATTCAAAATGCAGAGCAAAACTACAAGGAATGCAATAACACGAAGCACGAATGCTTTGAAGATGTCGTCATACGAGACTTAAGACCTTTCAAAAAGAAGGGTATAAGTGAAGAAATGATTGAAGCTGCTAAAACTAGGTATCTATGAGTATATATGATAAGTATTGATGATTCAACATTATAGAGTATCTTTCATCTTTTGTTTCAATTAAATTTGCTAAATTTTATGATAATTGCCCACACAGGGGTACATTTTACCAAATAATTCAAGGTAAATTGTACAGAGAGAAAGACTGTATGTTTCCAGCGAGATGCGCTGGAATTGAACATTTCTTGTTAAAAGTAATTGGTAATTTATCAGACATGGATTTAGTTATAAATACCAGAGATTATCCACAATCCAGCGAATATTTTGGAAATGCTATGCCCATTTTTTCATTTAGTAAGGTGAGGGATAATTCTGTTATTTATATTCAAAGATTTCTTATAACAAGCTACAACATATAGAGTATATTTATATGCAATTATGTATTATAATTTGTTGAATTTATTAAGAGCTGTGCAGCTTGCAAAATGTATTTATAGACAGCGCAATATTATGATATTATGTATCCAGCATGGGCATTTTGGGAAGGTGGTCCAGCCATCTCGTTGTATCCCCATGGTCTTGGTAGATGGGATCAACATCGTAAATCTTTGAATAAGGCGAGTTTGGAGATTTCATGGAAAAAGAAAGAAAATAAAGGATTTTTTCGTGGCTCTAGAACGAGTTCGGAACGTGATAACTTGATTTTGTTAAGTCGTAATAAACCTCACTTAGTAGATGCTCAGTATACTAAGAATCAAGCGTGGAAATCTAATGAGGTATTGTCATATTGTTTCTGAATCGTATTAGGGGATTCTGTATAACGCGAATATATAAGATTCAATTTTCACTTTATTTTAGGACACTTTGCATGCAACACCAGCGTCAGAGATATCTTTAGAGTCCCATTGTAAATATAAGTATTTATTCAATTTTCGAGGAGTGACAGCTTCATTTCGATATAAACATCTATTTTTATGCCGATCATTAGTCTTTCACGTCGGCGACGAGTGGATGGAATTTTATTATTATGCCATGAAACCATGGATTCATTACATACCTGTCCCTAAAAATGCAAATCAAAAAGAGTTGGAGTAAGATTTTATCTTGTTATATTGCTATCAATATTTGTCTTTATATTAAACTATCGGCTGGTTTCTATTTTGTTGTTGTTTTTTTTTTTTTTCAGGGATTTGATTGAATTTGCAAGGAACAATGATGATTTATCAAAAAAGATTGCTTATCGCGGAAGAGATTTCATATGGAATAATTTGCGAATGTCAGACGTTACGTATTTTTGGAAACAACTTCTGAAAAGTTATGGTAAACTTGTAATATACAAACCAATCTTAAAAAAAGATCTCATAAGCATTAGAAGGAAATAGAGAGTAGTTTTATGGTAATTTTGTATAAACTTAAAGATGGATCGCGTATTGTCTTCCCTGAATAATATCCGTATAACCTCATCCGTCTCCCCCTGTCTCTCTCACATATTGTATGTGTATTACATTTGCTTCGGCAATACATATACTAAAATATATGTAAGCAAAATGCGCATACATCCAATAATAATTGCAATTAAAAATATGAAATGTTTAAAATAAACTTATTTATTAATACTATTTTGTATGATGATGAAAAATATAATACAATAGAGATTTGTTCAAGGCACGACACAATAGTGTGGCAAGTTTCAATATTATTAATATCCTAATGTCAGTAGTAACACAAAGAAAGGTATTGCACAATTGAATTTATGTGTATTAAATAATTCGAGTTATCTCAAACAATAATCAACCATCAGTTTAAAATATTTTCATTTGTTATACAGAAATTCTCTTATTCAACAAATATTGAGGAAAATGCAAAGCCTTTCTTCTTGTACCTTGATAATATTTTTTGAAGACTAATTGTAAATATAATCTTTAACAATTAAGTACTGGTCGAACATTCGTAGTATTAGACACTAAAATACTTCTTTAAATGTAAGAAAATACAGGGGTATACTGCAGGTATTATAACTTTTAATTGTTCTGTTAATTTAATTTAATTTTTGTTGTTAATATTGAACAGGAAGATATATTTTCGACGTGAATAATTTTTCATCGCAATATCTTTCTTTTCTGTTAAAAAAAGATAGTTGTTGCACGTTTTTGCTAAACACGTTTTAAAGTGCATTATTTTGTATAATCTAGAAAAGAATGAGGCACTTTATATAGTTAAAAATTGTAAATATAGATGTATAAATTCTCACACATACAACAGCACCATTAATGTCAGAGATCAATGTCTGACAATTTGCATACAGTTACAATATTTTCTAGAAATTTTATATATATGTACATATACATATAAATGCGCGTGCGCGTGTGTGTGTGTGCGTGTGTGTGTGTATGTACATAATTTGAAATAAAACTACAAGCTGAACTATAAGCTATCATTGGGAGAAATCGCAAGGGAAGCATTTATATAAAAACAAGGATTCTCTTCAACACGTAACGTCATATGACGAGAGCGTAATTAAACACTGTTTGAAATAATGCATAGATAAAAAGTTGCGCTTGAATGCTCTGGCATTTAAGCTGCGCTCGGAAATATCATTCGAGTGCCTCATTATAGTGCATCATTTATCCTTGTTCACCGAATGTTGAACAAGGGATAAAATGATGTACAGAAGCACTCGAGTGATGTTTCTGAACGCAGCCCTACAATTCTCTTTTCAGAGTTGTGTAAGTTACAAAATATTTTCTAAGGCACTTGCATCATGATATAACAGTCATTTTAATACAATCGCAACGCTGATACTAGTGTACAGATCAGATATTTATATAAGTACATATAAAAATGTATCACGCATGCAAATGAGATTATAGATATTGAATAAAAATAATATATAATTGTTCTGCTTATTATTACATAGAATATTTTAACATTTACATTACATTATAGGGATAGGAGAGTGATCTATAATATTCACATAAACACTTTCATTGATCAACAAATATTTTTTTTACAATATTGTCACAACATAAAGAATCCGATTATTGCTTTCTATTAATTATTATTTGTTATGTCGCAATGCGCGAATATCGCATTTATACATTTCGCAATCTAATTGAATGGTCAGATTCTAAGGAATTAATAAGAGCCTTTATAAAGTCTTTGCGAATGATAAACACGCGAATAAATAGGCAGTGTAGAACGTTTTATGTTACGTTACAGCGCGTGAAACATCATTCATCATACACACACACACACACACATAACACGCGCGCGCGTACACACACACACACATTTGCGCTGGCATATATGTATAAAAATGTGTGCAATTCAAATATGTGCTATAGCCGCGTCGCACATATCCTTGCTCAGCCATACAGCTCAACAATTTAATTGCGGCGGAAATATTGCGCGTCGTAATTTTCTAGCTATCTATATAATACTTATTTATCGAGAGCGCAAGTTCCTAAACGTGCTGTGCCAACGATGATTTCGATCGTTTCGCGCATTCACGTTTTTCAAAAGGAAAAGAAATATTCTATCGACATCTTCGTTGCATTTCGCGCGCTCGTTATCGATTTCGAGTCAACTGCGTCGATCCTTAAAGTCACTGTCTTTACGTAGCCATGACGAACCTCGCGATGATCGTTGTTACGATGCTGAGCAGGAGCTGCCGTGTGATCCCTTCCGATGAATATAGCGGATTCGCGGATACCCCAGAGTTTCCGTCATTATGATTCGATGATGTCACGAGCTCGTCGGTTCCTCCTGTCGAATTTAAATTCGAATCGTAGTGGCGCGTAATCAGGCGTGACACAATAATCCATGCAGAACGATCGTGCGCATGCGCACGTTCGAGAGCGCGAAACAGTATCAGGGCGCAGAGATCAGAGATGTCGTTAGCTCTCGCTCTCGCTCTCGTCGCTCTCACGTCGCCGCGTTGCCGGTTGATGTTGTATTGTTGTTGTTTGGAACTTTATTTGGTTTTTCCGCGCGTAAATGATCGGGGATATATTTGGCACGTGTACCGGTTGTGGGTCGCACCGCTTTCATCGCTCACTTTTTCCCGAATTCGGGGTGTACATTGTTGTCGTCTGGAAAAGGTGATTGCTCCCGGTTAATGCGGGTAGTGGTTCTAATGGATCGTATTGACTCGAATCGTGAGTAGGTGAGTCTCTTCCTTATGTTTTTTTGCAACCAAGTAATTAATATTGTTACTGTTTGTTCATACAACTTGACTGTATTTAGCGCTATTACGTAGATAGTAATCTTTATTTTATACCAATAACACGCGCCTGAATTCTTTATATCAGTTAGTAGTGAGTAGAGAGAAGTTATATATCGAAGATAAATTTTAACACGGCACCCTAATTTGGAAATTAAAATTTTCAACTGTCATAACGTTGCAAAGATTAATATTATAGCTAAAACTACGGTTGCAAAATTAAATGAAATTCGTAAGCTATAACGTCGAATTTAATCTGAGGTCGTCATTCGCGAAGACAAATCAATTTCAATTGGAAGCATCAAATACATAAAAATATCAATATATGAATTATTTTGTAATATTAAATAATTAAGTATGTGTGTTAAAAATCCCCATGCTAGGCAAAAGTAATGAGTATGTCGCGAGAATCTTGATCAACTAAATCTTACAAGTTTAAACTCTCTGTCTTCTATCTTTGTCACCATTCGTTTGAAAACGATTGCAAGTCCACATTTTTAGAAAATTCATGGTACATCAACAGTAAAATTAGAAAATTATATATTTATTTTGCAAAATTATAACCGGAATGAATATACATATGATTATACAATGTAATAGATGTATAATCGGGTTAGAATTAAAACACATAGTATAAGAGTTAAAAGGAAAGATACCAATTGCATATAGAAAAATATCTTATACACCAAAGAAATACTTTTACGACTTCTCTCATAGATTCTCATAGATTCTAAGCGATTATTTGGCGTAGAAATAATTCAAATAAGACATTTAAAAACATCGGTAAAATATAGGCACAGAGAAAGAATACAGAGAGAGGGGGAGGGGACGGAGAAGTAGGAAAGCTACAAGCCATTGTCAAAAGTGCATTTTCTCATAAAACCCCATTAATGGATTATGGCTCGAAGGAAAGAGGGAAAGATTGTGCGATTCAGGACTAGTTCGTGTCGTGTATCTGCAAAACAATTATTTTCAAAGTATTAATTCTCGACAGGCACGATGCCTCTTGGCGATGGGCGATTAAGTACTTGTGCAACGAGGCGTGCATGTAAGATTATTTGCAAGTAAAAATATTTTTTTTAATGTGGAAAAAAATAGAAGAAAACGAATGAAAATCAGGATTAGAAAGAAAAAGAATTTCCCATAAGAGTCGATGTACTGTTAGAAGGAGCAATTCGAAAACACGCTTTTATGCTAGATTAATTAAGTTCCAAACAACGCAACACTGTCAACGGCAATGATTCATGCATCTCCCTGTTTCACGCTCGTGTGCAGGTGCACGCGTGTGTGCTGTCATGTGCGGATTTTAAAATAAATTGGTGCGTGTTGATTGATGTGCAACTTTGAGGTTACTCACTATTTTCTATTCGTGTACATGTGTCATTTAAAATTATGATTGATGATGCAATAGGGAAAGATTCATGCTTTACATATATATATTGTAATTTATTAATATATTTAAAAATATATTAATTTATTAATATATTTTTTAATATATTAATAATATATATACCACACGCACGCGCACACACACACACACACACACACACATTCAGGGAAAAACGAAAGTAGAAATAAAGTGCACGTGAAGAAACAAAAAAGAGGCATAAATATTGTAGTACACGAATCCATAATTGTAATATGCTAACGCTAACGAATGAAAGCCATCCGTGTAAGCGAGATAAGAACAAAAAAGAGAACGTAAAAAAATTTTTATTTCTTGAATATATATTTACTCTTGTCTTGTCAAACTGGATGCGGCAACGATGATATACGGCGATCTTTCGCGCTATCGTCATTTACTTTTCAACGTCGGTGCGTTCTCAGAAAACTCAAATACTTTGTTCTCATCCACCGCCTGGCCAATATAATACTCTGGGCTTTAACGTGCAATAAACTTATTAATGACAAGTGATGTAAAAATATTAGCTTTCTCAATAAAGAATCTATGTAAGCTATGAAATAATTTTGAAACGAATTATAAAATGAAAAGTTTTTGATTCTCGAATTCATAATACACGATGCGATGATAATTATACCTATGATTAAAATTATGGACGTTAACGTTTGATAACAATATAACGTTAATAAATTAATATTTTATATACATTAAATAATTTAATTTGTGAAACGCAAAACTATTATTAACGTGATTATTACTTATGCTTTTCAATTTCGAGTGCGCCTGGTTAGCGTAATATGAATAGGCATAGAAAGGTTGCCAAAATAATACCATTGATATTTCTACGCGCATAGATCAATCGTGCAAGCATTACTTTATTTTCCCATATTTCAATTACCTAATTTCATAACTTCCGTGTTGATATATATATATATATATATATATATATATATATATATATATGGAGCTTGAATTACGATATAGACTTTTGGTAACGTTCAAAACATGTTTCGTTATGTAGCGGACATGGCGTTGCGTCACATCCGATTTTAGCGATCTGTGACTCGATAAAATATATGAAAGAATCATTTTGAAGCGTCATGCTTGTTATGTTATACATATGTCACAGGACATGTTACAACGTTACGACATTCTAATCATTTCTAATTCGAATCCACCAATTTATTATCTAATATTATATTGTATCTGAATTTTACGCTAGGTAATTGAAGAATTAAATCTGATCTCTCTCTCTCTCTCTCTCTCTCTCTCTCTCTCTCGGTTTTTAAGTATTGCATGCACAATATGTCTTTTCGCGTGAGGTAGCCGTAGTATCATAGTAGCCAGGCCAAGTATATACGAGACGCCAAAGTTTTTAATATCGCACTTCCTGCCTGCCTCCATATCAAGGGAATTATTTGTGTTTCCACGTTGATTTTTAGCGAATTAGATTGAACGAAGAAGAAGAGTACTAGGTATCCACTGTCGCGATTCTTTGGAGCATTAATTTAAAGGAAGCGCAATTCATGTAGATTCGCGGAAACTTATTCATCTCGTTGTTCTTGGAACATTGTTATTAAACGCGGTATATTAATAGCAATTAATAAGTACAGTAACAGTATAAATTACGCTCGACGCATGCATCGATAAAAACCGAAAATAAAATCTGATAGAATACAAGGATAACAAAGAAATTAACTTTGTGAATTAATTAAAGACTCGAGAGCTATTTTTCGAGATATACATATTTTCTATATTTTTCTCTCCTGCTTAGTGTCGCTTATACCGAACCGCTCTGCCAATTCCGGGAAGCTACCGGCTATACGAGCTATTGCTGTTCGCGATTGCAGAAACCCCTATCGAGAATAAAGTTTGCAGAGAAGAACGTAATGAGAACTTTTTCTGTGAGAGAGCAAATTTATTAAGTGCAAAAAAGTGGCACGCTCATGCATGACGCCCAACCATTACTTTTGTCGATGATCACGCTTACGCGAAATCTTTAAGAAACTGCCGTATATACTCTGCTCTCTCGAAATTCATAAGGCTTGATGTATCGGAATCGCGGACTTGTGACGAGGTTGCATCTCGCTCGCGAGTACGATCGCAAATTTGACAAATTTGGAAATTATTTCAAAAGATTTGGGCTAATTGTAAGTATTGTCACGCGGCAATGAATATTTAAGATAGATTCAAGTTTTTTCGAGGCTAGGCAGGATTCGATAAAGATTTTGTACCTGCGTCTAGAATGATGTCGCCAACGCTGTCAAGATTACCGTTATCGTCGTATGTATCAGCCACGTCCAGATTACTGGCAAATGCGAATGGCCAGTGATCGTTACCTAATGTCCCTCTGTTAGCGGACTTGCATCCGAACCACCAGTACGCTGTCGATCTTGGGAAGGCGGGATTAGCCTCGTCCACCTGATGAATCAAAAAGACAAGTTCATGTGATACGATATATATATATGTATATATTTTTTTTTTAATTTTTTTTTTATAGAATCTTAACTTCTGTATGTAACGAGAGACACTGACACACATATTTTATAATTTGGTACGTATAGCAACAAGAAAACCAAGAAGAAGCTCGTGTATTATTACATAACACGCTATCGGTGTTTATCTTCCAATACCAATCATGCATATAATATACACATACACATATTGCTATATGCAAAATGCTGCTAGAAATAACAAGAAAATTAATTTAAAATCCATCATGCTTGCCTTGAACATTCGGTCGTTGAATCGATAATAGGCATTATCTTGGAAGAAGTACGTAAAGCCCTTGTAGGTTACTGCTGCATTGATATGATTCGGTATGCCTTCCCAATTTTGAATGAGTTTAGGATAGTTACTTCTCACTGGTGGCTTCAACGATGGATCGAAGCGCCAGAATTTCGCGCCTTTGTAAAAGTAAATTTTGCCATTTCCAGTCCATACAGTAGCCGCATCGATGTTGTCGGGAATGCCGGTAAAACCATCGCTAATTTCCTTCGGATAGTCGCCGTCCATAGTCGTATTAATATACCTCCAGTATCGCGTGCCCTGAGGCAAAATAATTGGAGAGTCAGTTACAGCGAATGAATTTAAATATCATTTATATTGAACAATATCGATGCAATGTGGCGAAAAAAAACCAAATCAATTTTGAATCTCACTCGTTTGACGTTTAGTCAGGTGAACGGTTACCTTGAAGAAATAAGTCTTGCCATTCCTGTATGTAAATGCAGCGTCTATATTTGACGGAAGCTCCTTCCACGTGCTGTTAATACGTCTAGGATAGCCGCTAGCCACACCATTGTCCGTTAATTTCCAGTAATGTTTTCCTGCAATGGAATTTGTCATAATAACAGTATATTTCAGTATTCTTGCCCCGTCTCGCATCTTTGGTAGAAACCAAATGTTAATGGGAGATTACAACTTTGAAGTGTATGTAATGTATGTATACATATATACGTACCTTTAAACGCAATTATCTCGCCGTCTTTCGTATTGAACATTGCGTCGATCTTCGGATCTTTACACAATTCAGGATCTTCTTCGGCAGGTGGCAAAGGTCGCGATCCTCGTGAATTGGTTTTCGTTCCATACAAAGCCTGAAATATTTTCGTACAAATGGATCGCTACATCCGCACGCTAACGAGTATTACCCTTGTTGTTAATCGAGAAAGTTTCAGTCTTATGGGCGTACCTGAATTGCACTGACATCGTCTTGATCTAGAATAAAGTGTGGATCGTAGCCGCGGTAAAAAGGTGCCATCAGAGCACTCTTGACATCGCTGTGACTTAAGCCGAGCGAGTGACCGAATTCATGAGCCGCGACTTGAAAGAGATTGGTACCGCGATAGCTTTTGATAGTCCATCGTTCGGAGTCGTCAAAGTGAGCATCACCACCGTATACGGGAAAGTACGCGTGTGCCAAGGTGCCGCCAGGTCCATCGAAAGGATCACCGTCGCCGTGCTCACCTACCTCGAATCTGATTTCGATATGAACCTAAACGAATTACCTTCATTTTGTTAATAAAAATATTATTCGCGTCGATTGTTGCGATACTCACGCGCGCACAAGTATTATATATAAGCAGATATATCTAAATTGTATGGACCTTACATTTTCATGTCCTGTTTTGCGGGTAAATGTCAAATCAGTTTGACCTGACCAAACGCCGAATGCGTTCGCGATTTCTTTATCCACTTCCTGTTTGTTCAGACCAGTTGGATACTTGCTAATTTTGTACGTCAGGTTCTTCGTGCGCCATCTGGATCCTATGGTAAAGCATTTTATACGTGAGACGCGTGAAGGAGCGCGAGAGAATATTTGCTTTGTTTAAAAATATTGCGATGCGTCGTTCATCCGCGCGCGCACAAAGACTATTCTTTTTCCGCGACCATTAACATATGCATGTCCGTTACGCACCAACCGATGCACCAACACAAGTTTACATATACTATAGGAATTCGTTGCGATACGCGCGTGATGTTCCGATATTTTGTTCCGATGTGTAGCAAATTTATTACTGTTGCGTCATTATTATTTTGTATCATAGCGCGTAAATTGTTTACTATCCGTAAGAATAAAAATCGCGGTTTGCGTGTTACGTGCTCATTACGGCTACTGCAGAGCTACGATTTATGCAACAGTTGCGCGTATACTATTGTGTACAATTATATCGCGCATCTCGTACGACTTACGCAACGATCTATTCATCACTATGCGAGATCCAAAAGAATAAAAAATAGAAGTAGCACGGTTATACTGGATTAAGTTAAATTTCGACTATGTGCGACTGACATTCCATAGGATACACGCGTGGCCGAACTTAGCACCAAGAGTTCACTGAAACATGAAGCGCACGTGCTTAGGCTCAAAGTCATAATAAAGCGATTCGCGTGAAGCTGCGGCGCTCGAAATTTATTATTCCGACAGCCACGTATAAGAATGTCTTTACCGGGTGTCTTTTTTTTTTTATTTTCAATATGACATGATCGAAATGGTTAGAGTATGCACGATCGAGTCAGGAAGTCAAGTATAACGGGTGTTTTTAGGGAAACACTTTACCGCATAAATATCTCATTGATTGCAAATGTCTGACACTAAGAGAAGTAATAATCGTTTGAATATAAAATTTAAAAAAATTGACAAGATATTCTCTTCCTATCGAAAAAGGATCTCGTCGATCATTAACCGATTATTGTTTCTTTTTTATCGTTAGATCGCAAAATAGATGCAAAATGCAACAGTTAATTTGAGCAGATTTTTAATGCATTTAAAATGCATTTGGCACATCTGACAGATTGTTATCGCGAGATAGGGATCCACGTGATCCATTTAAGGTGACTGACTATATTAACCTGATTTTGTATACATCACACACACACATAATAGGTAGCGAAACAACGGAAAATCGAAATGCATGATTCATCTGCACGTAAAAGACTCTGTAACGCACTAAATAATCTGTGTGTGTTTCTATATATAACCAGTTTCTTTCATTTATTTTTTGGTAACTATTATTAATACGTTTTGTACCGCGTTGGGTCACTAGTGACCCACGCTGGACTTTCCATTCAATCCAGCATTTGATATTTTGGCTATAAAAACATAATTATAAAATAATTTTTAATATCATGTATGAATACTTAATTGTGATATATACAAATATATTAGACGTACAATATATTAGATTCAACATATTACACGTTTTTTTTTAAATAATAATTTTTGTAATTTTTAACCATTATGAAATACACATTTTATTTAATAAATATATTGAACACAAAAATGCCGTGAGTGACCTATATGGATTAGTCACCTAAAATTGGCACGGAATCTATTAATATAATCATTAACACTTTCCGTTTTATACGATATTGTATTCTACATAGACTTTCCACGAGTTTCGAGATATAGGGAATGCCTGTGTCGCGAGAGATTAGATAATCAATCGTGATCGATCAAACGTAAAATTGTGTCACGTCTCGTGGTTACGTCTACAATCTCGATTGCATTAAACTTTCTTAAATTTGTCAATTACAAATTAGTTGCGTAAAATGACGAAATCTATTAATTTTTCGATTAAGTTTTATACATCAACTATTTTACTCACCTTGGAGAGCATATCTCTTCGATCTTCCATCGGCAGCTGGTCCAACTTTATCTTTAACACCGCATCTTGGTGTAGCCATAAGTTTAGCAGTCTCTTCGTTCAATTCACCTGCATAAAGAAATACTAAATAAATTTAAGAATTGTTATTTAATTGTTTTACTTCCATAGAGAAACTATAGAGGATAACGGTTTTTACGAAAGTAGATATCTTTTTACTACCGTTTTGCTACCTCCTATCATCTTCTAAATAATCGCGTGATAGTAATTAAATGCTCAGATTTTCGCATAGGTATATTAATCGTCAGAGTATAATCTGTTGGCGCGATGCAGCGAGTGTATTTGCACGCTAAGGAAATCTGCGCTCTCTTACGTTCACGTGTATACACGTGTATATTTCTTGCACCCTGTGCACCCTGTATTAATTTCTGTATGCATACATAACATATATGTCTGGTATGTGAAAATACTCGTGCATGCATGTATGCTACCACTAGTTTCACTCTGGGCTGCGTTTCAAAACTTACTCGGGTAACCAAAACTTTATAGTTTACGTCACGTTAACTATATAGAATTTTGGAACGCAACCCTGTGAGACTACGCGATCACGCGATTCGACATTTTACAGATTCATCGTATTATTGGCGTGAAAAGGTTGCCGAAGAACACCGGCAACAAAAATTATACTTTTCCGGTCGATTTTCAATTTTCGATTTCCATGAAATATTCATGATATATCCTATATCACGCGAATAATTTTAAAACTTTCAACATTGTTGCTTTTCGCATTTAAATACTTAGTATAAGTTTTTATAAATGCACTGTTTTACAATGCTTATCGAACATCTTCCCTCTATTGTGGAAAAGATCTTGGTGATACATACGCGACCAAACGAATCGTGACGATTATTAGACGGAGAATAATAATATCAATATCAAATAATAATATCAAAATTTAAATAGAAGTGATTTCTGTACACATTTCATTGTATTTCTTTTTAAGAGTTACATTCATTGGCAGTTGTAAATGCGTTAACAACGCGGCATAGATGGTCGATAAACACGCTTCATGTCGAATAATGCTGCCACCGATGACCTACAATTTTACAGTTAGATCACTCTTCCGTTCACCTTCGGTTTTTATTGGACTCTATTGCTTGTGTTTCGCCCTGTCATGGACTCTCGTATAGTACCTACTATAATGACAAAACTTACTCGGTGATCCATTATCTTTTCCAGTAACTTTTTTATACGTTTTCTCAATTTAGTATTAGCGCATCTGATAAATCGAATGTTTTGTGTGTATGTAGTATAGATATTTTTGCTTTATTAATTTAACGTTATTAAAAGATTTTATTAGGTTTTTAGGATTTTTTTTTAATTTGTTACATATTTTTTTAGATCAATCTTCCATGATTTCTTATAACATACATATATTTTCCAAAAATGATCACTCGCGAGACGGAAGCGCTACAATAATGACTCATTGGTTAAGGCGTAAAGGTGTAAAGTAGAATTCGGTTGCGTTTCATCGAATCTTGAATCATCACCGTTCATTATCATTAACAGTTTAAATCGACAAGGGGGCACTGACAGGGAACCGCTGTTATCGCTCGTCAAGCGGCTTGACATTGTACATGATTATACGCGAGAGAAAAACGTAAAATTTTATATTTCGCTTTTTTTTACGTAACATCCTCCGTATATATTTTTTATATGAATCACCAATACCGCTTCTGTTAAAAAACTTGATAATAGATGAAAATTCAAGTGTATTCTGTAGTTATACTATACAGTATACACTTGAATTTTCATCAAGTTTTTTATACATATAGTTTAGTATACATATATGATGGAATATACATGCGTATAACATATATGTATATAATACGCAACGTTTAAGAATAAATTTAGACATGTAAATGAAATTTAACATACCTGTGATATTAAGACCGGCAAAAGCTTGAAATTCTTCTATCGCTGCCGTCAGCTTCTCCTCGCTTAAAAAAGCACCACTTTCCGGATTTGTCGGCGGTAAGTATCCGTATTGCGCCAGATAAGTCTGTAATATTTAAACAAGTTCTTTAATGTAGTTCTGTTCTTTTGAGTTTGTTAATGAACGTACATCTATAGGTACATCTATAGGTATAATATCTTGTTAAGTATATCTTATTGTGTCGTAAAACAAAATTGCGGGCAAAAAGTTTTCGCGTCATTCGGCATAGAATCAGAATTCAAGCTCGGTGTGTTACAATAATGTAACATTGACGTTTTACGAGCTCTGTTTTACGAAGGTGAATATAAAGGTAGAAGAACTTTTCTTATTCGCGAATATATAAATTTACCAATGCGACTGTCTGTCGAGACTGTCGGTCTTTTTTCTATCGTTTTGAACAGTATAATTATAATTGCAGTATAATTATAATTGCCCGATAAAAAAGCGCTACAGGCGGGAAATCTCTGCACGCATTTTGGCTGTACCGTCATTGCATAAAAGCCTTTGATTTTTGCCAATACACGCATCACTTATCGTCCTACAACGTGCAAACGCCGATGGGACGTGACATATTTCTAATTCACCATCTAAAATATACGATCCGATGTTTTACACAAGACGTGCTCTTTTCTCGCGAGAAGAAGCGCGTGTCGCAAGAATGATACGACCCGGCCGCAGAGTATCGTCATTAGAGCCAATTCGGATGACGTTACGTTCGAAGTACAGATTACCTCCTTAAGAATGACTCATCCCTTATATCGGACACGGAAAGCACTGTCTGCTTCTCTCGCGCGTTCTAGATTCGCGTAAAATGGCGATCTTGACAAGCAATTGTTTCTAATGTGGTAGAATAATACCGTTGCGTGAAGAGAGTTGGCCAATCGATTTGCTATCGCGTGCATTCTTTCGGAGCTACCTCTGAACCGTATATTGATTTTGTTTTTACCTGTGGGTCATCGCGCACGAACGCGTATTCCTAATTTCTACTTAGGTCGCGTTTATACCATAGCAAAATCGTTCAGTATAAAGAAAGCATAAGTATATACGAGTACATATACATGTGTATAAACAATTTTATACATACACAAATTTGAATATAACGAGACACATACAAGATATTGCTAAAGCTTGAAAACTATATTTATATATAAGGGAGCACATTTATATGGTGTCGAGCACTCGAGCAAAGAATCTGACAATCGTCGCAAATTACTATTGTGCAAAGGAATCCGACGTAAGTCACGCGAGAATTACTAAAGCATCTCATGTTCTTAGATTTAGGCGAAGCAGTAATGACTGAGGCGACTGACCTAACCCGCGAGTGCGGGATTTACTGTTATTTCACGACTACTCTGTTTTTTACAACGACACTTATGCACACTTATGTCCTGATTAATATTCAATCAGTTGAATTGCACGATCAACGATCAGAATATCACGTATTCATTGCTGAACCATACGAAAGAAGACGGGCAATTCACATGTTGATCTTTTTACACTCTATATTATTCGTGTCATGTTGTGTCATCGTTAAAAATAAACTTATTTTTTTAATTCAGAATCACACGCGCGGAGAATCTGTAAGGAAAGATAATATGATATACTTTTTATAATACAAAATTATATACAAAACTCTTTCTTGCATGCGACAGTAGATTAAATAAATAGATTAAAAAATAAAATCGGACTTTGTTATTCTGTAAACTGAATCGGCAACAAAAAGTGATTAGTAGTGTAATTGCAAAGTTGTGGCGTGAGTCATATGGTTGCCGGGAGGGAGAAAACGCATAAAGGGTATATTCATTCGGATGTTTTCGCAGTAGTAATCCGATGCATCCCTTGACAGCTGTGTAAAGTTTTCAAGCGTAGCCTTGCATTGCTGATTCATACTTTAGGACAAAAATTAAACGTTCGCATGCGTATACTTTGAAATTAATACTCGTAATAACTGTTTTTTGATCGTGTTATAAATGCAATAATCGGAGATTATATCGCGGGCTCACTGCAATTTTCTAATATTATATATATGTATTATATTGGAAAATTGTAAAAAAAAAAAATATATATATATATATATATATGTATATGTATATTTATATATTGTTAATAGAATTCCGTTCAAATCAAATTTTGTAGCAAAAGAAAATAATGTATATAACGTGAGTGAGACAAAAAGAGAAGGAGTACGTAACTTTTATGGAATTTCCAGAGCCATATCTCGTTGATAAGAACTTACTTTCGTAAGACTGAGTTATAACTTTGCCAAAGTAAATATTAACATTTAATTTTGTGGCCATCGTGCTTCCTTCCGGTCGAATGAATGAGGTGATTCAAAGTGCCCCTACGAGTCACAAATTTCGTAATTCTAGACAAGTCAACTTCCGCGAAGGTTGAGATTTTTATGAATGAACGTAAGTGGAGTTACCCGTACCCACGTGCATGTGTCACACGTGAATGGTTTTACCCTCTTTCCCTTCTCTCCTCCTCTCTGCGCATATTATATGTGTATGTGCTTTCGTGTTTGTGTATATCTCTTCTTTGCTTATACACATATACACGTAGAATCAATGTGTACGCTATACTACACTATATTGCGACTGAATCAGCCAAGTGCTTTTCCACGTATCCGATCATGACTTGACTCAGCACTGCACCGTCGCCGCGTCGCCGTCGCGTCACGACGCGCCGCACGGTAAAAATGTCGTTGGAATTCAAGGTCTTCCTAGTGGATGCTGATCATCGATCGGCCGGGCATTGGCAGCCAGAATTACCTTCAATTAATTGCGAGTGGGTAAAGTACACCGAGATGATCAACGTATCCATTATCGTTAATGTATGCGCGCGTTCGCAAAATATACAGAAATATAAAGATATTAAATGAAGATGAGACGCGCATCTTTATATTATCTTTATGTGTTGCCAAATATTCAAGTTACTCGTTGAATTTTGAATAAATTTAGCGGTTTAATAACTAAATATTATAAGGAAGACACAATTATAGGCTTAGAGCACGGAAGGCACATATATGCGATGATTATCCGGATGTTCCTTGTGTAATCGGAAATGTGCGCGCGGAAAGATGCACAATACATTGGTTGAAACCTTGGTTACAATTATATTTTATGACCGCGCATGAATGCCATGAATCATATCAGAATAATCAAGTTGACAAGTGCAAGAGTAGATCTCTTCACTCACATGTATCATTATAAAAAAAATAATAATAAACTGCCTGCACACAAGATTGATTTTGAATTTTTCTGCTTTTTTTTACAAGTTACAAGAATTTCAGAAACGGAAAAAGTGTCTCCGATATATATCTCTGATAGATAATTATTCCTCTGAAACGAACGATTGGCAGGACTTGATTATTTTCTTTTATTTCTTTCCAGTTATATCATACCTATCTTCTTAAAAATCGTTTTAAATATTTGTCATTTAATTACGTCACTGAATACCGTACGAGTAGTTTATATATGTCTGCGAATGCCGTATGAATATTTTTTGTATATATCTGCAATATCTTCATGTCATTATGTTGAAATAAATTAACATAACGAATTTGGTGGAGAAATTCCTATCTTATCGTCATATAATGCATATTTCTCATAGAAAAATCTCATGCTTACAAAACTTGTAATTTTTGTATATCGTATATATGTCGCCGTAATAATCATACAGCGGAACTTGCTTTAGGCACAAAATGTCTTATGTCCGGGTTACCTTGAATTCTTTTGCGTTCAAGGTACGATGTAGATATCCACGATAATATATATTCTTCTGAAAATATAAGTTTATGCCAAGTAGCATGCTATTGATCTTGAATTTAGATACTATTGACGTGTGTCATCGAAAACAATCGTGCTATAATAATGTAATTAATGGATATGGAGAAAAAATTTTCCATATCTCTCCCTTTCGGTATAGCTACTAATCCTTGGCATGACGAACTGGTCATACGACACTTGTCGTATTTAACCACTCGTTTCCATGACCTGAATTTTTGGATATTGAGATTTTGTGTTATTTGCTAATGTATCGCTCGTAACCACCTCGTCTTCTGCAACGGATTTGCAACGGTGTTTAATCTCCTCAAGCGGTATCTAATCTGATGAGATATTAAAAAGATAACTGACTCTATCAAAGTTAATAAGTTCACAATCTTAGTAATCTTTTATTCTCTTATCCTTTTTTATATTTTAAGTAATTATAAATTGAAAATTTACTTGATGAAAATATATAAAGGTAGCATCAATGTCAACTTTCAACTTGTACGATTAATAGATAGTAGCTAGGATATATCGTAAAGACCAAATGTTTTATGCCAATGAAAACTCGAGCAACTCTATCTCAGCGAAACATTATGTCTCTTCTGAGTACCAATAAAATCATGTTTGTGCGATATTAATCATGCCGACAAATTTAATTCAATTAATTCCAATTGTTTTCTTTACGATTATTAATAATATCATAATAAATTATCGTTTCGCCGCATAGTTAGTAATTTTATATTATAGTTTCATTGGAAATCATGCAACTTGGTGTACCTAGAGCTAAAAGTATCTGATGA